TCCAGCCTCCCCCCGCTGCAGCCCCGCTGGTTTCGGGTGTCACAGGAGAGCAGGTTTTGTGGGGACAGGGCGGGGGTCATGTGTCCCATGGAGTGGATGGAGATTCGATCCGAGGCCACGGCTGGGAGCGAGTGTGGGACAGGGTGAGGCAGCTGCTCCCCGGGCCCTGCTCTGCTCCCCAGCAGCAGGTTTAGTCCCCATCCCCTCTGTCTCCCCCATCCCTCCCCGTCCCCCTCACCCGCCGTGGAGAAGGCCCAGGACCCGGCGCAGTTCCCCTGGTCCAGGGGCCCGTGGATCATCCCGGGCCACTTCGCGGCGGCATCGAAGTGTCGCGGCAGCACCTCGTTGGAGTCCATGTTCATCTGCGGGGCACGGCCGAGGGGGGCTCAGCCCGAGGGTCCCCCACTCCTCCCCCTGCCATCCCAGCCCTCCCAGCACCTCCCAGGGCATCCTCTGAGCAGGGATCCCCAACCAGCATCAGTGTCCCCCAGCCCAGCCCCACTGCGGACACTAAGGACACCAACCCCACACTCAGGACAGGGACATCACCCTGGCCAAGGCCGACCAGGATTTGGGTGCCTCCTTGTCCCAGAGGAGCCAGATCCCGCAATTTTCCCTAAATTAGGGCTTCTCTGTCCCAGCAGCTCCTCGTACCCCAGCCCCACTGTGGACACTAAGGACACCAACCCCACACTCAGGACATGGACATCACCCTGGCCAAGGCCGACCAGGATTTGGGTGCCTCCTTGTCCCAGAGGAGCCAAATCCCGCAATTTTCCCTAAATTAGGGCTTCTCTGTCCCAGCAGCTCCTCGTAGAACAGCAGCACCGAGTGTCCTGCCTCAGACCCCAGTGAGGGCCGCGGTGCCCACCACAAATGCACAGCCCTGGGTGACTCAGCCCCTCATTGTGGCCTCTGGCCGCTGACTCCCGCCCGGCCTTTCCGCTCCGGAGGGGGGGACGGTGCCCCCGCCCCGGCCGAGCTCGGCTCAGCCTTCCTGGGGAGGACCCGGCCACGGCACCCGGCTCATCCAGCGCAGGAAGCGCCTCTAAAATTAAACTCAGGCTCGAGACTGCGGTGCTGGGTGTGCACTGCGGGTGATGCCCGCTCCCCCAGCACCCC